TTTAGGGGACACGTATATTCAGACCCATCCCAGCACCATCCCAAATGTAGGCACAAGGCTACATATTCAGGACTTATGAAGGAAGGGACAGACAAGTTATGGGTTCACCACTGAATATAAAAACTACAAGTTTTCATTGCAGTAGGTTGGCTGTTGCTTTGATACCTATACACCAATCACTAGTAATAGGAGAGGGTAGGAGGGGTTTTTCCGTTGTGAAGAAACCACTTGAAGAACCTGTGCCTTCTAGAAATTGTTAGATGACCCCAACTTGAATAACAATCTGCAGGCTTCCTCAGTGGCCTTTGGCCACAAAGAAAGGGTAGTCTGGAGAACAGCCAGAGTAGAATTGTAGGCAGATAATCCAAGAAGATAGTAAGATAAATGATTCCTGCTTTAAATACCTACTCACCAACATACATATATAAACAGTGCTGGTTAATAAGACATTTCTAGATTCTTACCTCTCACCTTTGCCTGTCCTGTTTATTCTGTAGGGTCATAAATTATATATCTGAGTGCCAAATTTGAAAATTCAAAATTTGAAATACTTCAAAATTTGAAACTTTTAAAGTATCATTATGATACTCAAAGGAGATGCCTTTAGGAGCATTTCAGATTTTGGATTTTCAGATATGGGATGCACAATCAGTAGACATAAATGCAGATATTTAAAAATCTGAGACCTGAAACACTTTTTGATCCCAAGCTTTTCAGATAAAGGATATTCAGCCTGGGTAAAGGCAGGAAGAAGAAGGCAACCTGTGAGCCTGCCTACCTCCCAAGATTCCAGAACTGAAGACGGGAGAGGAGAGACATTTTGCCTTTAAATGAAATTTGAAGTTTTGATTATTATATGGGATTGGTCATTATAATTGTTGAAATTATCCCAGTTTTGTGATAAAAGAAACCAATGGACTTATTACCTGAGAGCAATCCAAATATTCAGAATAAATTTTCTAGATTTCATTCAAGGAGGAAGAAAAGAAATAGTTTGTCTAATAGTTTTAAATGGATTGGGTATGAAAATTAGTTTTCCCCTTGTTTCCTGTGGCATTCTGGTCGTTTAATATGAGGAGTATATTATTGACTAATTAGAGAATACTAGTACGCTTTATAACATTCAAAGGTGTATTAATAGTCTCACTTTTAGTATTATTTAGTAGGAAAAACAAACTGTTTTCTTCTGTGCTCTTAACACTCAACACGGAGCACTTCTGTGACCAAATATATAGGATGTTTTCCCTCCAACAAGCTGGGTGTCCTACTATTTAATTCAATTCAGACAGTATCTACCAGGAGTTAGTGTCATGCCTCACAAATTAAGAGATCAGTCCCACAAGACTACCCCGACCTCAGATGCCAATAGCTAGTCCTGGCCTCTACAACTTCTGACCAACTGGCCAGAAATTGGTATTTCCAGGTGTTATCGAACTGAGCTGGGGTCTGTTTGCCTGGCAAGAGTAAAGTCAAACACTGACACTGGGATTGCAGTCAGGGAAAGTGAAGCATTTATTGTAGGGTGCCAACCAAGGAGAACCGGGCAGCTTATGATTAAGACCCAAACTCCCTGATGGCTTTGATAAAAGAAAAACTTCAGCCAAATTAAATTTAAAGGAGTTTAATTGAGTAATGACGATTCTGGAAGCCACAGAATCACAGCAAGATTCACAGACTCCAGCACAGCCACATGGTGAAAGAAGATTTATAGACAAAAAAAGTGAAATGACATGCATAAATCGGCAGTGAGGTACAGAAATAGCTGGATTGGTTACAGGTTGGCATTTGCCTTATTTGAACACAATTTGAACACTTAGAAGTCTATGAGTGGTTGAGGAATGGCCGCTGGGATTGGCCAAGACTCAGTTATTGTTACAGGAGCATACTTCTAAGTTAGGTTTTCAATTTTGTCTGACTGTTAAGCGAGGTTACAGTTCATCCACAAGGACTCAAATACAAAAGTACAGAGTCCTTCTCAGGCCATATGTAGTTTGCTTTAACAGCTTATACTTAAGGGTTTTTAAAGGCTTGGAGGCAGAGATTATAAGCAAAGTCATAAGTTAATATATAGAGTCTGTGCATTGCTTTGACCTAAAATTGTGGGACATTTTGAAATCCGGCACACATGTCATAGGTGAATTTAAAGATTTTGTGGTTTGCAATTGAGAAAGGAGAGAAAACTTTGTTTAACAATTTGGGGTCAGCGGAAAAGAATGTTAGCTCTGGCCCATGCACGTGACCTCCTCCACATCTCTCAGGAAGAAATTTAGGATAAAAAAAGGTGGTCATAGATGAGTACTCAGTTTCCCCTTACCTGAGGTCTGCATGCCAGCAGATCCATTTGGTCGGGGTCCCGAGTTTCTGAAAACAACTCAGGGACATATGTTGTTACCTTTCTTTTTTAGAGGGAACCAAAATGTTATTTTAACTTTTCAAACTGTTGTTTTAGGCTGTTATTATTATCTTTTTGCTTATTAAGTTTATTTTTTAAGGCTAGCTAGGTGTCTGGCATTTTCAAGAGGAATTTAAGATTTTAACATTTTCATGTTTAGGGGGTCCCTACAGGGCCCTAGGGTGGTCCCTGCCCTGTCTTCCCATGACTCCCTCCTCAAGTTCAGTCATTTGCTACAGCAGTTGACAGAACTCAGGAAAACACCAACACTTACCAGCTTATTATTAACGATATTACAAAAGGTAGCAATGAACAGCTAGATGGAAAGGTAGACAGGGCAATGCATGTGGGCCTGTGTGGTGCTTCCATGTCCTCTCGGGTGCCTCATCTTCCCAGCACCTCCACATCTTCAGCAGCCTGGAGGCTCTCTGAACTCTGTCTTTCTGGATTTTTATGGAGGCTTCATTACACATGCAGGATTGATTTAATAATTGGTTGTTGGTGATGGACTCAACTTTGAACCCCTCTTTTTTTCCCTACCCCCCAGGTCTGTGTATGGTAGTGAAAGTTCCATCTTGCAAATCCTGTGGTTGGTTCTTCTGGCACCAGTCCCCATCCTGAGGCTGGCTGGAGCCCCCAGCTACCAGTCATCTCATTAGCATACAAAAAGGCACTTACCACTTTGACCATTCAAAGGATTTTTATGAGCTGTGTGCCAGGAAACAGGGAAGAAGGCCAAAAAACATATTTCTTATTATAAATCACAATCTAACAAGTATTTAAAAAGAGAAAATAAAAAAAATGAGCTAAACTATGCAAGAAGGTAAGAAATAGTGAAATTTTGAGAAAAAGATAGGAAAGAAAATAATAAACATAGAAATCAAATATCAAAAAAATAGAAAACTAGAAGAATTAATGTCATTTATAAGAACTGGTTCTTAGGGGAAAAAAAAGCTGACAGATATTAAACCAGACTTTGAAAAGTTTAATAAAAAAGAGAGCCACTAGGGCGTGATGGCACCCACCTATAGTCCCAACTGCTTGGGAGCCTGAGGCAAGAGGACCACTTGAGCCTAGGAGTTTGAGAGAAGCCTGGGCAACATAGCAAGACTCTCATTTCTAAAAATAAATAAATAATAAATAGCATTCAAAATAGACAAAAAAGGGAAAGAAAATAAATGCCCAAATTTAGAGAAAGTGAATACAACTGTAAATACACAAGAGAAAAAACTCGAGAATACTATGTACAGTTTTGGGCTAATAAATTTGATCCTCTTCATGAAAAGGATGATTAAAAAACATTTCTCATTTTCTCTTACCTTAACCAAATAAAACTGATGTGTTTCTTTGAGAAACATCGGTTGCTGCCATGATGTTATTTGTCTCACAGAGTCTGTATTCCCCAGAGGAGCAGTTATAGGTTAGTCTCATTGATAAAAACATTTGCAGATATTCTAAGCTAAATGTGTATAAAGTGAATCAAGAAGTATATAATTAATGTATAACAACTAATTAGGGTGTATGCCAAGAAATCAGAAGACAGTCCCATATTAGGAAATCTATTAATAAAATGTATCATTCAAAAGGTGGAAGCAGAAAAATTATTTGTTAACAATGATAAATTTTGTTAAAAAAATCTTTGAAAATTTGGAGCAGAAAAATATATTTATTTAAAATTGTTTAAAAATAATTTAACTTAAGGCATCCTTTTAATAGACAATGAAATCCATAAAAACCAGAAATAGATTTTTCTCATTATGAATATTTACTAATTGTTATTTGGAAAGCATTTTATTAAAAATTATAAGATTTTAAAGCAGCATAATTTTGGAAAGAAATTTAAAGCATTGCTTAGTGGAGATATAAATGATTATTCAGATTGAAGGAGAATCAACTAAAAAATGAATGAAATCAGGAAATTTGTAAGATGGCTAAATATTAAATAAATATACAATAACTAGTGGCTGCTTTATATGCTAGCGATATTTGATAGAAAATATAAAAAAGATCTTATTCAGCATAATAGCCTATATAAATATATACATATATAGCATATATATACACATATATGTACAGTATGTACATACATGAAAATATATATGTATATAATAAATAGCATGGACAATAAAATTACAGGCTCATTTGTATTAGACCGGCCTTGTCTGAAAGCCATATTAAGAATACTAGGGGCTCTAGCCACGAAAGTTTGATTTATAGGCTCTGCCCTCTTTTGGAGTAAGTGAACGTATTTGTTCCTTAACAACTATTTACCAATCAGTTACCATGGCTGGTTATGTAATCCAGTCCTTCTTGCTGCTCTAGAGCACCATTGTAGTTTGGCAAGAAGGGTGAAAGTTTTATCTTCCACATACTTAATTTAAGCCCCAGCTGCGTGCTTCTGTGGTGTGTCAGCAGTAAAAGGACTTCAGAATTTTGATAAACTGAATTGCACCCTGGCCTGTCCTTTTGGTTTGGCAAAAACAATCTGATGCCAGATTAATTTTATGTGGAAAGAGACTGCTTCAGTGGTTTCTATATAGAAAAGTGATTGGTTGTTCCAAAGTCAAGTGGAGCATCACAAGTGGGGAAATGAGAGAATTAGAAAGAGATGGGGGTATGTAGTAATTTTGATCAAGAGATAATCACAAACTTAAAAGAGAGAAAATCTGAAATACAGAGCAACACAACTCATTCAAAGGTAAGTCTTGAGACAGACAGCAGAGTTTTTTTTTTTTTCCATCCTTAAATGAGTCAGTCACAAAACATCACCTATTATATAATTTCCATTTTTATGAAATGTCCAGAATAGGCAAATCTATCAAAGTCAGAGAGTAGATTAGTGGTTGCCTAGGTCTGGGAGAGGGAAGGCAGGAAGGTGGTTGGGAAAGATGTGAAAAGGCACAATGTTTCTTTTTGGGCTGAGGACAATGTACTGAATTTGGGTTATGGTGATGGCCGCACAACCCTCTAAATATACTAAGAACCATTGAACTTATTTAAACAGGTAAACTTTATGGTCTGTAAAATATTTCTCAATAAAGCAGATAAAAATGATTCTGTTATTTATTAGGAAGAAAAATAAGGGTATAATAGCAATGAACATTTTGAAAAAGATTAACAAGGAAGATTTTTATGTTAAAATGCATTGAAGGTGACACTTTTTAAATGTAGTTCAGTGAAAGTCATAATAATGGGCACACAGCTACATCAATAATACAGAATAAGATTTGAATTAAGTTTTAAATGTGTTTAATAGAAAAATGAGCAATGGATATTTAAAAAATCAATTCAAAGTAACCCAGAATAAATTTTATTATTCAAAGAAATAAAAATTGTAAAAATGTAAGAATTCTGTAACAATTCCATTATATTTTTAATTATACTTTTTATTTTGAGATAATTGTACATTTAATTGAAGTTGTACCCTTTACCCATTTTCTCCCAGTGTTAACATCTTACAGTGCTGTAGTACAGTATCACTACCAGGATAATGATACTGATATAATTAGGACACAAAACATCATCACTAGAATGAGCCCTCATGTTGCCCTTTTATAGCCATTTCTACCCTGTTCCTCTACCCTCTTCCACAGTCTCCTCCTCTTAACATCTAGCAACCACTAATCTGTACTGTATTTCTAAAATTTTTCATTTCAAGAGCTATATAAATGGAATCACATATAATCTGATAGGATTGGCTTTTTGTCTCTATAATTTCCTGTTGATTCACTCAAGTTGTGCATTTGAATTGTCCATTCCTCTTTATTGCCTTTTATATTCCATGTTATGGATTTCCCTTAGTTAGTTTAATCATTCACCCATGAAAGGACATCTAGATTGCTCCCAATTTGGGGCTGTGATGAAAAAATCAAATAAGATGGCCAAGACCAAAGTCAGTGGGGTAGGGGAGAAAGAACTGTGGACAAATAATGCAATATTCCATGGTTAATGTTATGAAGTGTTATGTGACAATAGCACTTAATTTTGATTCAGTAATTCCACTTCTAGAAAGTTACCAAGAAATACTGAGAAATATAAATAAAATGTGTCCACAAAATTGTGATTATATTATATATGGTAGCTACATTCCCTATTTTAAAATGGAAAATATATTTCATATGGTATGTCCATACACTGGAATACTATACAACTTTGAAAAGCATGTTGTCTGAGAATATTTAGGGAAAATGTGGAAATGCTCATGTATAAAATCAAGTGAACAAAGCAGATCTATGTTTGGGGTAATCAATGCTCAGTAGTTGCTAAAACAAACTACGCACAAATGTGAGGTGCTTTACATAAGCACATTGTTTATTTCTCATTTACATAAAAATCTGATTCAGTTTGGATAGTCTCCCAGGTGGCTATTCTTCAAACAGGGAATTGGGGATCAGGTCTTGGCCAGAGGGTAGCTGCTACATGGCTTTTGAGGCTACCACAGAAGGTGGAGTTGGCCAGAGAATTATGGAAGATGTACTTAAGTGCTGAACTTGCAACTGACATACCATTTTTGTTCTCATTCCATTGTCATAAATGAACCAGATGTTCCTCTGCCTAATTTCACAGGAAGCTGAGAAATGTAGCCATTTTGTATAATCAGAAAGTGGAAACAATACAGTAAGCACATAACATATATCTACTACAGCAGTACACCAACCCTTTATACAGTACAATCCAATTTGATTATATATGGGCATGCTATATGTACACATAGAACAAGATTGAAAATGGATAGAGCAAATTAACTGATTTGTGTGTGTGTGTGTATGTGTGTGTGTGCGTGCAGGTGCTGGAATGACACATGGTTTTAATATCTTTTTTCCTCATTTTCTTAAACCCAATTCCATAAAAATGAATATTATATTAAGTAACTAATAATATAAAACTACTTATACTGCGTAAGAAAGTAACACAATCAGTAGAACTTGATCTAATCCCTATTATTTTGCCTAATTCCTGCACGAGTAGCCTAGCTTTCTTTAGGAACCCATCTTTTCTAGTTCTCTAAATCTAGTTCTGGTTCTTTCTTATGGGAAAAACATGATAAAAATGCAGAAAATATATTTTTACAATAATAATTTAAAAACTAACTTCTTAACAAAGTATTGTTAAAATCAATATATCATTACCTCTAAGAGTTTTCTTTATGGCCCCCTCAGAAGTTCTTAAAACCCATTTTAGAATTCTGGTAACATTTTATTTTTCCTTAAAGGAGACAAGTAATTCATTTCTGGGAGATAGCATTTAAAAATTAAATAACATTTTGGAGATTTTGTTCCAGGTGTAGCGAATAGCATATGTAAGGGCATAGAATTATGTATATGAATCATCTATGGCAGTGGTTTTCAAAGTGTGGTTCCTGGGCCATCAGCATTGCTTGGGAAAATTGTTAAAGATTCAATGCTTGAGGTCTTATCTAGGCTTACCAGCCATCCTGGTTTGCCTGTGGCGCTCCTGATTTAACTTGGCTGTGTCCTGATTGTAGCACTGAAAATCCTGCATTCTGGGAAACCCTTTGTCCTGGGCAAACTGGAGCATTTGATCACTGTAGGCTGACTGTGCTAAGCCTACTGAATTAGAAACTGTGGAACTCAGCAGTCTGTGTTTTTGTAATCCCTCCTGGTGATTCAGATTCATGCTAAGTTTGGGAACCACTGATCTAGGGAACTGTGAGGAGTTTGGCACCACTCAATAATGGGAGTATGTGATGAGGGGTGAAGCTGAAGAGTAAGCTGAAGGCTCTTGTATGCTGCATTAAAAAGTTTTATCTGGCTGAGAACAGTGGCTTACACATATAATTCCAGCATGTTGCGAGGATGAGGTGTGAGTATTGCTTGAGGCCAGGAGTTCAAGACCAGCCTGGGCAACATACAAGACTCTATCTCTACAAAAATATTTAAAAATTAGCTGGGCATGGTGATACACACCTGGATTCCCAGCTACTTGGAAGGCTGAGGCTGGAAGATTGCTTGAGTTTAGGATTTTAGGCTACAGTGAACTGTGATTGCACCACTGCATTCCAGCCTGGGCGAAAGAGTGAGCCTCCGTCTCTAAACATATGCAAATAAAAAATAAAAGAAAAAAATAAATTTTATCCTATAGCTTATGAGTAGTAACTCATCAATTCAATTATTTTAATTAGAGTAGATATATTTTGAGCTGGATCTTTGCATAGACAAAACCACTATGACTAATTAAAATATTTTATGTGTAAGTAAAATTGATTTTAATTAACTCTTGTTTGCAAATTAATATGAAATTAAACATTTAAGACTGGGGAAAGGGAGAGCCCATTGAGAACTATCCTAGCAACCCGACCACAGCTGGTCTTCCCTGGACACCATTAACCACACTGTCCACACCTTATTCACTCCCACCAACACCGACCGTTCCCCCAACTACGAGATGATCAAGGAAGAATATGAGGTGGCTGTGCTGGGTGTGCCCCATAACCAGGCTCCCCCAACATCCACTGTGGTCCACATCCACAGCAAGACCTCCATGCCTGACCATGTCATCTCGTACCTGTTCAACACCCTCTTCATGAACTCCTGCTGCCTGGGTTTCATAGCGTTCACCTACTCCGTGAAATCTAGAGACAGAAAGATGATTGGTGACCTGACCGGGGCCCAGGCCTATGCCTCCAGTGCCAAGTGCCTAAACATCTGGGCCCTGGTTTTGAGCATCATCATGACCATTCTGCTAATCATCATCCCAGTATTTATCTTGCAAGCCTATTGATAGAGCAAGAGGAATCATTCAGGCCAGGAGCTCTGCCCATGACCTGTTTCCCATGTGCCCCACTTCCATTCCTCGCCCTGCCCCCTAGCGGAGTCCTGTATCAGCCCTTTATCCTCACACACATTTATATGATGGCGTTCAATAAAGTGCACGTGTTCCTGAGGAAAAAAAAACAACATTTAAAAAGAAATTTCTACCTTTATGTATACCAGCTGAGTCTGTGTGCTTGGACAGGATTTCTGAATGGTTATTCATGTTTAGTCTATCAGAGCACCTATTTTATGCAGACTTTGTTTAAATTTAAACTTTAAAAAACTTTCTGGGGCTGGGTGCAGTGGCTCACACCTGTAATCCCAGCACTTTGGGAGGCCGAGGTGGGCAGATGATGAGGTCAGAAGATCGAGACCATCCTGTCTAACATGGTGAAACCCTGTCTCTGTTAGAAATAAAAAAAATTAGCCAGGCATGGTGGCGAACGCCTGTAGGCCCAGCTACTCCAGAGGCTGAGGCAGGAGAATCGCTTGAACCTGGGGGGTGGAGGTTGCAGTGAGCTGAAATTGCACTACTCCATTCCAGCCTGGGCAGCAGAGCGAGACTCCGTCTCAAAAACAAAAACAAAAACAAAATCAAAATGTAAGGAAAAAACTTTCTGGAAATAGAAAGTATTGGTAACCATCAAGTATATAGTCTTTGGAAGATGTTAGGTTCAGGATTATGAATGCAGTTTAGGAAATAAAAAGCAGCCACAGAATTGTTCTAGTTCTAATTGTTTGGAAAACCACACTGAAATAGATATCATAAAACATGCAGCTTTAAAATAATTCTTTGCTTTTGTTACATGTATAAGGAATATATTCCTTACAGTTTACTTCTGTTATATTTTGCTTTATTTGAAGTATTAAAGCTTTATGTTGTATAAGGCCTTTACATATATTTGGAAGTTAGCACTTTGTTCTCAAAACTTGAAAATATTGGACCATATTTACTTATATGACATTTTCATTCTTTTTTTGTGTTTAGGAAATGGCTGGTTTCTCGATGATGTTGTTATCAAGGATCCCACAACAAATTACGAATATACCTTCTTCTGTCACAGGTGTGTAGGTGTAATTCATTTCATACTAGTCAGTTCCAAGTTTATCCATTGAGAACTGGATAGCTTATTTAGTTGTTCCTAGTCACTAAGGCTTTGTTGGGTAACTTTTGTGAATATTAATCTTAGGAGCTCTTTCTTCTATTGAGAAAGACATTTATTATGTTTATCATCATTCCTAATGATAGAAATTTAATATGTAATGCTAAATAAATATAGCTTTTTAAAAATATGACTCTGTACATATCAGAAAGAAAATGAAAGTCTCTGACAACAAAGCATATTCCCTTTGGATTAGGTCCCAAGTTAGGTTCAAAAATAATAAATGTACACACAGTGTTTCATGTAGCTTTTTATACAAAGATGATCGTGCTTACCCATTGTCAATAGACCTTGATTTTTGAGTTATTTTCCCAGTAGTGGTGATAAATTGCTTTTTTTTTCTTTTTTGATACTCTCCTGCCTCTTTTCCTATGGAACCAATAGTAGCCATTTGTGAAGTAACTGCTTCGAGTTTGAACTTAGTAGCCAAAGGACAAGATAAATTGATCCAATGAATAATAGCATCTATGACTTTGACAGTCACCAGGCTGATTGAGTAACTCACCTGTGTGTAGGCAAAAACATAGCAGATAGTAACTGTTTCTTCCACCTCCCTTGCACTCTTATAGTAATTTTAGGATTTCCTTTTCCATTCTGTACTACCCTGCCTTTCAGAACCAGATAGCCAGGTCTTTTCCACTTCCTGCTATCTTGCATTTCTGACTTGGGAAGATAATTGCTCATGGTTAATGTAAGTATAAAGTGTGAAAATAATTGATATACTTTTCTTTTCACAGATGGCTAGATCAGGGGGAAGATGATTGTAAAATTGTCAGAGAACTGTATGCCAGGGATAACAGTATCTTCTCTGCAAGTAGGTATCATGTATACACATTTCCAGAAAAACTATGTTTTATGATGACTAGAGAAAGCATGACCCTTCTGAAATTAATGGCCTTCTCTTTCCTTTATCTTCTCAGGGCAGAAGCTGGAACTTAAGAGAAAAGAAACAGTAAGATTTTGTTTGGGGCTTTAGATTATTTCATATAAACAATGTTCAAATGGCTATTTGATGTGTTAAAACAAAAACAGCATATAATGTTTAGTATGTGTTGTTTCTTAGCAATTCCTTCTCTTTGTTTCTTCTCATACTGGTGTATTTGTTTTGTTTTGTTTTGTTTTTCTTTTTAGTGGGCTGCAGAAAGATGGAAGTTTACAAAAGGAAATACTCTTCAGTTCTATAACAAGTTGACTGGAGGGTTTGTCCGCCTGCATCCAGATGGCACAGTTGACGCCATTGGAGATAGGACAGACAAATATGGTAAAACCATCGTACAAAGCTTGTGGTGCTAGACACGTCTAGGGGTTAAAGGAAGGTAGATTTCTAGACACAGTTTAATGTATAGTTTTGTTCTTTTTTCAGATGACTTTACACCAGTGTTAGGCCATTTAAATAATTTAACTATCTGCATTAATAAAAATTATCAATAAATGACAGGCTTTAAATCTGGGCACTATGAAAAATATATATATTTGGTATTAACTAATTGAAGAATAAAATGTAGGCAGTTACCAAAAGACCATGTTAATTAATTTGGGGACCAGAGAAGATAACTAAAATACTATTCTGAATTTCAGACATGCATAATCTAATGAAGAAGACAAATACAACAATTCTAATAATTATTATTTGTAGCTAATGTCATAATAAAGGTACAAAGGGAAAACAAGACAAACTAGATTTGATGTTTAATATCTTCATGTCATGAAGATGTAACTGTGAGAATTGACAAAGAGTAAACAGATGTTGGTAGATCTTTGACTATAAACCCAAATCTCCAACCCTTTTTGAATTTGGACCTTCATTATTTAAACAATATTTGCCTGCTACACCTGTGAATTTAGCTGTACTATGCTGTGCTGGAAACTGTGCTGTTCAGTCTTGAGGATGTGCTGGAGCTACTCACCTAAGCATTTCTCAAAATGTAACCCCTTCTGCCTCATATTTGAGATCTTGGGGAACGATCCAGTTTTCTCCTGTATAAAAATAAGTGTCTGTTTAAAAATACTTCTTAAGAGCTTCTCTTTCCAAAATTATTTTTTAGACATTTTCCTTACCTGGGCAAAAATTTGTTCCCACTTGAAATTACTTATCCACTTAAATTAGTCAAAGTGGCCCTTTAACTTATTCCCTGGGTTCTCTGCTGCCACTATTGTTATTCTTTTTCTTTATTAACATCCTGTATTTGCAGATATGGTCACAAAAATATCTCCCATTGTTAAATCAGAAACTGTGAAGGATCTAAATTGTAACTTAATTGTAGGAAACATGAGACCACTGGGTCAGAGACCAAGACCATTTATTTCCCACATCAAGTGCCCCAGCCAGAGCAGTTTCTTGGGTTGGATTCCCTGAACTCCAGTCCTGCAGCATCATGATGTGAGGGCCTAATGGTACCAGCACACACAGTTGGGTACATTAAAGGAGAGAAATTTGCAAATTAGGAAACTCTGATCTTATATTTTTTATTTTTATTTTTTGATGTTTCTTTTTTGTATATATTTCATTTTTATTTTTTGATGTTTCTTTTTTGTATATATTTTAATCAACTTTTATTTTAAATTCTGGGGTATATATGCAGGACGCACAGGTTTGTTACATAGGTAAATGTGTCATGATGGTTTGCTGTACAGATCAACCCTTCACCTAGGTATTAAGCCCTGCATCTGTTAACTATTCTTCCTGATGTTCTCCCTCCCCTAGAACCCCAGAGGTCCCAGTGTGTGTTGTTTCCCCCCTGATGTGACCATGTGTTCTCATCATTCAGCTCCCACTTATAACAGAATATGAAGTGTTTGGTTATCTGTTCCTGCATTAGTTTGCTGAGGATAACAGCTTCTAGCTCCATCCATGTCCCTACAAAAGACATGATCTCAATTCTTTTTATGGCTGCATAATATTCCATGGTGGTTATGTACCACATTTTCTTTATCCAGTGTATCACTGATGGGTATTTGGGTTGATTCCATGTCTTTGCTATTGTGAATAGTGCTGGAGTTAATGTACACATGCACATATCTTTATAATAGTATGATTTATATTCTTTTGGGTATATACCCAGTAATGGAATTGCTGGGTCAAATGGTATTTCTGCTTCTAGATCTTTGAGGAATCACCGCATTGCCTTCCACAATGGTTGAACTAGCTTACATTCTCACCAACAGTGTAAATGCATTCCTTTTTCTCTGCAACCTCACCAGCTCTGTTGTTTTTTGACATTTATTTTTATTTTTTAAAAAATTTAACTTCATTTTTTTACTTTAAGTACTGGAACACATGTGCAGAATGTGCAGTCTTGTTACATAGGTATATGTGTGACATGGTAGTTTGCTGCACCTGTCAACCCATCACTTAGGTTTCTGATAGAAATGTAAATTTGTTCAGCCACTGTGGAAGACAGTGTGGCAATTCCTCAAAAATCTAAAACCAGAAATACCATTTGATCCAGCAATCCCATTACTGAGTAGATACCCAAAGGAATATAAATCATTCTGTTCTAAAGATACATGCACACATATGTTTACTGCAGCACTATTCACAGTAGCAAAGAGATTGACTTTTTAATAATCTCCATTCTGACTGGTGTGATATGGTATCTCAATGTGGTTTTCATTTGTATTGCTCTAATTATCAGTGATGTTGAGATTTTTTCATATGCTTGCTGGCTGTATAAATGCCTTCTTTTAAGAAATGTCTGTTCATGTCCTTTGCCCACTTTTTATTGGGGTTGTTTGTTTTTTTCCTATAAATTTAAGTTCCTTGTAGACTCTGGATGTTAGCCCTTTGTCAGATGGATAGATTGCAAAAATTTTCTCCCATTCTCTAGGTTGTCTGTTCACTCTCATGATAGT